TTCTGCTTTCCCGTGACTGTAAGCTTTAAGGAACGGCACTGAAATTGGTGAATTTACAGCACCATGGCTGAACTCAACACTTGATCTGCATTCCCATCACCTCAGTTTCCATAGCAAAATGTTCCTGCTGAAGGTCAGAGTATCAATTCAGTCTTCACCTGAGCATCCAGGGTCAGGCTCCACTTTTGTCAGGAGGGTTGAGTACTTGGAAAGAGAAACAAATATGTATGGTGTGTGGCTGCTGTATAAGTTAGTGTTTAGAACAAAACCAGCGCAGGCACCTGAGGGTGGACAGGGTGTGCTGCCACCCTCACCCATCCCCGCAGAGCTGCGTGCTGAGGCACCCACAGTGTGCAGGGACAGCTACTGCCAAGCTCTCCTCCCTGCTGATGTTCTGCTGGTCCTCTTTCCTGCATTTAAGGACTGCTGATGTGGCCCCACAGCCCCAGCAAAAAACCATTGTGCTGATGGAGATCCAGCCCAGGCCCCCTCACCAGGCTGAGTCTGCCCAGCAAGCCCAGAGCTGGGCTGCTTACTTCTCCAGGCAGCTCCCATTTGGTTTTGAATGAAGGGAAAGGAGTGTCAAGTTGGATTGCTTTTTATTTACATGTTTTTCAGGATATCTCCAATCTGAACAGGACGTAACCTTTTTTTTTGAGGCATGTGAGCCAATGTCAGCTGAAGAGCCTGGCTGCTTTGGAGTGGTTTTCAAAAGCAAGCCCCACAGCATGAGAGAATATGGGATTTGAGGAATGAAGGGACTTGTTAGAAGTATGTATTTCTAGGGTCACAGGATCTGTTATGCAGGCAGAGTCATACTTACATGGTTATAACAAACTCCCCAGAGACTTCACACCCTCAAATACTCCATCACTGAATTCTCATCTTTGTCTTCCTGTGCAGGCAGTCAGTATTATTTTTTCCAGAGAAATGTGTAGCTTTGGAGGATCTATAATCATAGGTGGAATCACACTCTGAAGTCATGCTCTCTGACAGGACTGACTGAGTTGTTTGTTGTTCTTGACTCCAGGGCCAGAACCACAGTCTGAGCATGCTCATGCTGAAAATAAAGGAAAGAATTTAATAACTGTGACATATTGGGCCAGATGATCAAGCCTTTATTCAGATTTTGTTTGATTGAAGTATGTTATTTTGCAGTGTTGTGTTTGGTCGGAAATGGATGCTTAAACCTCCTAATTCTAGATTTGCAACTTGAAAATATGTGGCTTGGATTCTCACTTTTAAAGTCTTGTGGAAAGGGTGCCTGCAATTAGGTCAGTACACACAACCTAAAATGATCACTGAGCCACTGCAGAAACACAGTACCAGCAGTGAACCCCACAAGCTGGGTGTGAAGACAGATAGATGGGAAACAGTTTAAAAGCTTTTGGATGCTGAGTATGCTGTGGGGATGTGCAGCAGCAGTCACAGCTCTGTGCACTGCACCTCACAGTGCCCTGCTGAAACCAGGGGCCCCTGTGGGGATGGTGTGATGAGGAGCTCATGGAGCTGTGATTCTTGGACATTTCTCTGTTGTCACCCTTGGCGTTGTGTCACTTGGGTGTGGAGCAGTCTCTGGTTAGCTCCAGTGGCTAGGGGAAGGTGGCTCCCTGTTGGAGTCCAGGACATCCCTCTGGCTGCCCTGGCTGTCTCAAGACCCTGGCAGGGGGCTTGGAGACCTTGTCATGAAGTCAAAAACACCTGTGGCTTTGATTTTAGCCCATGGAAAATAGTGCCAACTTTGTATGAGGAATTACAAGCCACAAGGGTTTGAGTAGTGTGGTAGTTGAATTAATACAGGGTGAAAAAGTAGAATTTTGGGGCTTTTTAGAATGGAGTCCAGGGGGAGAAGTTGGAGGGATTTGGGCATGTCCTGACCTTCTTCTTCTTCTCTTTGTTGTCCATGCCTTGGTGTGATGGTGACACTTTTCTATTGGTTTAAGGTAGAGAAACACTGTCCAACATAAATTATAGATGTTGGCACACCATTGTAAATATAGTACACGTAGATTTTGGAATAAAATGTAAACACCACCCTGAGGGCAGATAGAATGCCATGGCCGACCTGCTAGACAGAGCTCAGCAGGTCAGAGAAAGAATGTTCTAGATAAGGAAAAATAAACAACCTTGAGAAGCCAGTGCTACACATCCAGACTCCTTCTTTGGCTGTGTGGGCTGGGAAACAAGGACTTTTACACTCTTGGGGTCACCTTGACACACAGACCCCGAGAGTTCCCCTCCTCTTGCACCCACTGTTTTGCCAGTGGCACTGGAATCACTACAGCAGATTCATTTCCAGCAAAACTCAAAGCTAATAGCTTTACATCAAGGATGAATCTGACTTTTCATTCTTAATAGCTCTCAAGGCAAAAGATCAGAGAAAAACATGTCAATATTCTTGACTGTATTGATGTTTGGTTGTGCAAATATCTCTCATCTAATAGAAGGGATCTTAGTTCCTCACCCTGAAGCTTTGTCAGCTGGGGAATTGAAATTTGCAATATACTCATTCACTGGGGGAACAAGTTTGGTTTCTTGGAGGGGAAGAATGGAAAATAGTAAAATAAAAGACTATGACCTAGCAATGCCCCTGGCTAACCTTGTGCAAGGAGCAGGGATAATATCAAAGCAAAGACTTGCATGGCTTTCCTGTCCCACATGTGCAGAGAAACTGCTGCTCAGGCTCTGTGCCATCTGAGTGGGGAACAGGAGTTTAGTATTTAAAACTGGGGTTAAAATGGGAGTTCATTAAGTTATTAATAAAAAACCCCGGAAAAATTCAAAGAGGAGCTTGTCACAGCATTGCACAGGTATTTCTTGGATTCCACAATCATTGCTTTGACTGTTACAAGCAGGGTCACTGTTATGTGGTAGGAGCAGGGGAAATACTTCACACTGAGAGCCAAGGAGGCTTTCCAGACCTCCCTCTGTCTCATCCAAAAATAGACCAAAGACTCACAGCTCCAGAGCAAGGAGTCATGGCCCATTTGCAGACCTGGGCCACGGGGGTTTGCTGTCTCTGCTTGCACAGCTGTCTGAGCACTGGAGAGAAGGAGAGACCAGAAGCAAGTAAGGCAGCACTAGAGAGAAAAAGCCATGAAGTGCAGAGCTCCATTAGGGAAAATGTTTCTCTCTCTGGACTCTTCAACTTATATTAAGCTGCTACATTTGGAGTTGAATAGGAGGCAGATAACACATTTGAGGACCATAAAGTGAGTGGACTGAATGTGTGTAAAAGTTGTAATAAGCTCACTTTCCATCTGTAAGAAAACCCAATTTAAAGTCAATAGTTCCTCTAGCCACATGCATGGTTTCACTTCTGGAGATGATCATGACCTGTATTTTAATTTGCCCTTTTATTTGTTTCTGGTCACTGATCCATGGAGGATGCTTGCTGCACCATATTTTGGCAGGATTTGGAGTGTGTGCGTGGAAAGCAGAACTGGTAAAATGCTATTTATAATTGATCAGCGTGATGTGTATGGGGTTTTTTGGCAGCCAGGGTGGCTGATTGCAGCCTCCACTGCCAAAAGACCCAGGCATGGAGACCACCTGACAAAATATTAGTTTGGGGTTTGGTTTTTCCTAGATGGAGTGAATTTAATCCAGCTTTTTATTAGAAGTTCTGCCTAATTTGCAAGGTGACATTTTTGGGTGGCTTACAAGAAAGTTGAGACCTACTGATTCCCACTGGTGTGACCACTGCCAGCAGATGTGACTGACTACCTTTGTGGCTGTGTCTGGGGTGCTTTTCTTTGCTGATCACTGCAAGGGGAACCATCCAGCATGTCAACAATTATCAGCCTCACCTCCTTTAACAAGTTATTGTCCCTTTGTGTCTGTAAATGTGCCTCAGTGCCCTCTGGAAAAGGCCTAAGGAGACATCCAGCAGGAGGGAGATGTTTAAGACCCTCTATACCCTAACCCATATGGGTGGGATGTGTTTTCCCCTTCACAGTTTTGCTTAACAACCTGCATGGAACATAAAGAAACAAGCAAAGGGCTGTTTCTAAGGACAAATCCTATTTGTGATAGACAATAACATGCATATGTGGTCAGGTAAGCATGCAAACTGCTTCCCCAAGGTGGCATTAATTTCAAGCCTTTGCAAGCTCAAAATTGCCTGGGGCTGTGTTGGTGGTGATGCTGGCTCCACCTCTGCCAGGGATGCCACTGTTCCCATGGCAACTCACCATCTCCCATTTTAATCTTCCCTTTCCCTTCCATTAAGCAAGATAATTCCCAGACACAGAGTGAGGAAGCAGTGTCCAGGTGTGGTACAATTTGCATTAACACTTGTTTAAGAGGAGGTTGCCATTGGATGCTTGCCACTGCAGGCTGTTCCAACCTCCACCACCTGACCCCTTACCTCACACAGAGGAGGTTTCCAGCCCACCCAGCACTGCAGGGTATCATGAGAAAAATCAGGACTGTGAAGTTTATGCACATTCAGGCCCTGGAAAAGGCAGTGTCCATGATCTATCAAGTTTGTACCAACTCTATCTGCTCTTCAGAATCTTTCTGTTTCTGGCTAAGATACTACACAGCAGTTATGGCTGCACAGTGAGCCACCAGACCCAAAGCATATGATCCCTGAGGCAAATCCCCATTTCCCAGGATGCAGTGACCCACCAGCAAGACAAGACAGCCCTTCCTCACCCTGATGTTGGAGGTGGCAAGAAGTAAATTTGTACTCTTAGTTTTGGATAGCAGATAGAAACATGGATGAATAGAACCCCAAATTTAGAGGCCCCTTGCAATCCCTTAACATTCTATGATTCTATGTTTATTTTAAAAGTCAGGTGACAGTCAGTATGGCACTTGACAACTCTGTGCAGTTTCCTTTGCATTTCTGCAGCACTTTTTCTGTTGAGAGATGCTTGCAGGAGAAGGTCAAGTTAGGACAGAAACAGTCCAACAGTCTTACTTCTGCCAGGTCCTTTCTTGACTGCAACCACTGCTTCAAATGACGCAGCTGTGTGCTCTGCTTTCCCCTGCAGTTGGCCATGGGCAGAGCGAGGGTGATCGGATGGTTGTCTCAGATTTCCACGTCTTCATCAGGGACAGCTTGCAGCACATTGATCTCATGAAGAAAGAGCACCCCAGACTACCTGTTCTCATCCTGGGGCATTCCATGGTAAGCACCATCCCCTACCCCTCCCAGCAGCACAGGACATGTGTCATAGTCTGGTGATACTCATGGGGATGGCAGGAAATAACTCATTCCACAGCAGCAAAACAAAACTACAAAGAACCTTCCCTTCAACTTCATTCGCTGATTGATTTGCCAGCATGCTACAGCCCTGAGATTTGCCTTGAGTAAAGACAGTCCTTAACTTTTCTACCCCCACCATGGCCCTAATTAGCCACTTGCCACGAGAAGCCTGTTTTTTAACATGACCATTCATTCCTGTGCTTATGTGGTAAGTCTCACCAGCTCCCTGCAGCATCGAGTTTCCCCTTTCATTTTAACCAGTAACCAGGAGGTTAAGCCCTCCAAGGCTTTGTAAGCAGCATGGGGATGAAGCATGAAAATACCCCGTAGCCTTATTCTGTTAAACAACCTAACAGGAAAATGTACCAGGGATTAAGGCTGCAAAAACAAAGGCACTGATTTGGTGAACAGATCTGAAGCCTGATTCTGACAGCACGGGCCAAATCCCTTTATTCAAGCTAACAGTATTCCCACTGATGTCATTGATCTGCCCTCCCTGCCTTCCCCGAGGAGAGGAAAATGAATAAGTACTTTGGGATTCAGTCCATGCTCAGATAAGTAAGTGTTCTGGCATAAGAAGGCATGGCATGCTCTGAAGGGCTCCCTTGCTCCAAAGCCACTGTGTAACAAGGAGCAATTTCCCAGTGAGGTCTTTGAAATCCTTCTCGTTGCTGCTCCATTTAACAAGCCCCTGGCTCTCCAGAAGTGTGGAAGTTCACCAAATATTTCCCTTGGCAACTAATCCTCTGCAAAGTTTCCCCAGCAAGCCCCCCGGCTCCCTTCCCTCTGCGCCCCTAGCCACCAGCCCGTCCTCATGCGGGATGGCTCAGCCTGCCTCTCATTTAGCTCCAGACCAGGGGCTGGGTGTTTGCTGCCAGCCCTGGGCACAGCACTGCGGGGCTGGAGGGGCTGGGGACACTGGGGAGGAGCATATTTAATTCCCATTAATTAGTGAAGATTTTCACGTGCCTGTGGCAGCGTTGCTGTTGCCCAGGTTACCGGTGACACAGCACGGAGCAAGCGCGGCTTCACCGCATCTTCTCCGTGAAGCACCAAGTCTGTCAGGCTGATAAACCTCCACTAATTTTTCAAGTCCCACCTGAACTACCACTTCAGACATTTTCTTCTTCTCAGTCCTTTAAAGTAAGGAGGACACAAGGCATCCCAGGGAGCTCATGGGCGTTGCATGGAAAGTTGAGTTCAGTGTGATGTGAGGGTTTATAGCATGAGAACAGAAACCAGATCTCTTCTCCCCCACAAAAACCAGACACTTCCAGTGCTTCTACTCCCCCAGCCTTCCTTGCTGACCACACTGCACTCTCAGTGGGGCAGAAGTAATTGCTTGCTTGGACTAAACCTCATCCAGTAACAGGATTACTATACAAACAAGATGTTGGCACCTGTATTAAGCTGTGGGCTGTTATTTTGCATTGCAGGGGGGAGCCATCTCCATTCTGACAGCTAGTGAGCGACCCAGTGAGTTTTCAGGCATGCTGTTAATCTCTCCTTTAGTGGTAGCCAGCCCAGAAGTCGCTACTCCCATCAAGGTAAGAGCAAACCCGTGTTGCAATGGCCACCTTTCTCTTCTGCAAAAGGAAAAGTGTTCAGACCTCTGGCCTTGAAATGCAAAACCTTGCAAAATCTGTGCCACCCAGATGCTAGTCAATACTTTTCTTCTAAGTGCCTCCCCCACAGTTCCACCTACTTTTCAGAAGGGAAGCAAATCCTGAACCTGTCCAGAAAAACCTATTTAAGCAAGAGTTGGGTACCGGTGGTAGCAGACTGTGCTTTCTTCACCTCAGCCCGTGGCAGCCCACACAATGCTGTCCTTTCCCTTCCTCTCCTACAGCTTTCTTCCTGACTCATGCAGACTCTGGTATAGTTGCAACACAGGCTGCTGGCTAAGTCAGGCCAGGGTTATTTTTGGCATTTGGGGGATGACCAATTTCTGAACAGAACTAGAGCTCCTCAGTCTCAGAAAGCCTTTATGAGCCTCAAAAGAGGCTTCCAGCTAAAGCATCACTGCCCACCTGCATCCCATTTGGCTTGGTACCATAACTGGTTCTTGTCCAGACCACCTATTTTGATTTGCATTTAGGCTTTATTCCCCCTCCCATTTAATTCTCTCCTCCTTTTTGCATTCTAAAAAGAATAAACAACAATCCTAAAACAAGCTGGAAGCAAAGGGAAGGAGCAGCTAAACCAGTACAAAGAACAGAGCCTTTCATTCCCACAGGACTCCTTCCTTTATCTTCTCTCCTTAGACACTTCTCCTAGGGCTAGCTTCTTGTTTTAATTTACTTCTAAGCTATTTCTCCTTTTTTTTATTCTTCTGTGAGAAAGGAGACAGATTGCCTCAGCTCTCAGTAAAATCCTGTCCCAATTTCTGCTGTAGCCAAAGCCATCTAGGGACCTCACAAATCATTACAAGCACCGAAGGGTGCTTTCTAATCACCTGTTTTACACTGAAAAAAAATGCATTAAGACCTCTAGCCTTAGAGATGCAGGACCCTGCTGAGATCTTCACCAACTGGATGCCAGTCAATATTTTCCTTCTATGTGCTTTCTCATAGTCCTACCTAATTTTAAGAGAAGAAGTGAATCCTGAAGTCATCCAGCCCAAGTAAACTTATTTAAATAGGAGCCAGAGTACCAAAGTCTGGTTTTAGGAGGCCGGTTACTGATTCTTCATGGGTGAGGCTACATCTGGCATAAGTGTCCTGTGAGCACCAGTGCACCTGCTTTTTCTTACCTGGGAGATTGAAAAAGAGTAATAATGAAGAAAAAATAATAAACAGTCTGAATATGAGAGAGACTGTTAGCCTTTTCTTTCCAATCAAGGGAAATAGAGAAAGATTGCTAGGATTTTGCTAGATGCTAAACCCTTTCTAAAACAAGGACTCACCAGTTCTGTGGGAACTAGCATTACTGTAGTCTGGTTTGTTGCAGAACTGTACCAGATGTTGCTTTATTTTCCTGTAAGAAATAAATGCAATGATGCATCACTTAGGTAGGAAATCCTATTCTCTAACTGACGTATTTTGGAGGTTTTTAGATGGTCTCATTCCTAGAAAGTCTCTCACATGCAATATTACAAGAGCACAGTCAGTTTCTTTTTCTTTCAAATCTTTTGTTGCATCTCAAAACTGATAAAAAATTAATTAATCCTGAAATAGCTCTGTTCTGTCACACTCAGTTGAAATCATTTCAGGAGTTGAAAAGGTATTTGCAAGAGGAAGGATTGAAAACAAGCAGAGTATCCCTGCATAAGCCACATTTTCCCATAAAGCTGTGTGTTTTTTTTTCCTCTGAGAGTCAAAATACATTTCATGGTGATTGTGCTTCTGAGGAACAAAGGCTTAGTTTTCCCTTGGAACTGGTACGACTTCTCAGCCCTGGGCCATTTCCCAAGGACCATTGCATTCATCCCTTTGCTGGGGAAGTTTCCAGCTGAGCAAGAATTTACCTTGGCCTGAACAAATGAGGGCTCAAGACAACAATAACAGAGAGCCAGATGACACACAGGGTCCTTCAGACCCTCTTAGAAATACCTTCCCTGGCTGCTGAGCCAGCCCTGGCAGCAGCAGAGGCACAGCATGTTCGCAGGAGGATCAAATGCTGCTCTTTGTAGAAACAATTTCACCAGTGCCCTATAAATCCTGTGTCCTGAGGGAAGCATCCAGTTGCAAATCCAGTAGAGTGAGAGGGATCTTGCTGCCTTCCCCTTTTTCTTCTCAACTGACCTGGACAAAATTCAGCTCTGAATCTTTGCAGTTTCAAAGGCTGCAGAGACAGGAGTCACATATGCTGGCAAAGGGCAGAGCAGGGGTGAAAGAGCATCCCCTATTACATTTCTGCCACTGAATGCTTTGAAATCAGGTGGGCAGGACAACCCCTTAGGAAATATTCCCTGGAGTTTAATCCTGTACTGACCCTCAGCTATTGTTTAAGGATTCACTACACAATATTCTCTCTTTACCTTTTGTGTTTTCCATTTCGCCTCTTGCTGATCTATTGCTTTCTAACCAGACTGGGCATCACTTTGCTCACTGTCTTTCAGCCTGAATCTGCACCCAGTAACACTGCAAAGGATTTTTCCTAAGATGTAATCAAAGTGGAAGAATTTATAGTAATTTTTGTTGTTGTTGCTTTATTCCTTTATTCTGTTCAGTTTGGCAGAGATGACAGCAGGTTCAGAGTCCATAATCCTGCCTAGGGTACATGGAGGTGCATAGCTTAAATTGCCACTGCCTGGAGTTAACATGAAATGAGGAAAACCCCATTCCTTCTTGGATCATCATAAACTCACACCTGCCTTGTTGTGGAGTAAAAACAAACTTTGCTGACACAATGTCATAGCCAGGGAGGGGCTCAGGATACTGGCAGGCAGTGACAATGGTTCCTACTCATGTCTACCCCAAGATAGACACGTGTTCCCAAACCTGCTGTGAGTCTTTACTGCTCTTCACTCCTCAATGACTTTGACTTCAACCTTGTGTTACTCCTCTAATATCATAATTAATCTGTCATGTGTCATCTGTGATCTGAAGTGCTGGGGAGTGCTTCAGAAATTATTAGGTGTCTGCAGAAACAGAGGGCACAGGGGGCAGCCTACTTCCAAGTGTTAGCTGTGAACACCACAGGGCCATAAACCAGACCAATGAACACTAATTGTGTATTTTCTGACTTAAGCAGTGATCACTTAATTAAAGGAAGCTATCAAAGATCAGAGCAGAACTCTGATATTGTAGTGCTATTGAAATGAAAGATGTTACCCTTTCTTCTACCAGCAGTTTCCAGCCTGGGCTGCTCAATGCTTTTGTGTGTGGTTCCCAGGAGACGTGTGAGCAATGGATTCCCTTAGCCAATGCATGCACACTTGGCTGTTGTTTATTTACAGGTTCCCTGGAGAATAGGCTTATCAAAACGAGTGCAGCCTAGGCAACTGCTGCAGTGGCACCCAACATCCCTTATGCACTGAGCCTGAGATCAGGGCTGTGGCAGCAAGGAAAGGGCAATAAAACACCAAAACCCAGCCCTCTAAGAGCTGAAAATTACCTTTTCCTATCAAAGTACTTAACTGAGCCCTTTCAGAAATTAACTTAAGAATGAGGAAAAGCCAGAGTACAATGAAGTTGTGCTGCTACATGTGGATGGACAGCTGACGGCATTTCAGTCTAGCACACCCACTCCCTGCTCCCAGGAGCAGTTTAAACACTTTCCTCGTTAGGAGAAATGTTTCAAATATAGGACAGATCTTTCTCCAGAGATAGCTGACAATTCTCAACTGTTTAACTCCTGTGCTGATTTCCATCAGCTCAGGATTTGGGTCTCTATGCTCCCTCTCTTCCTCTAACTGGCTCTCTGACCACTTCCTTTCCTCTCCCACAGGTTTTTGCAGCAAAAGTGCTCAACTTTGTGCTCCCAAACCTATCACTGGGGTCGATAGATCCAAATGCAATTTCCCGAAACAAGAAAGAGGTGAGAACCTTAATTCCATTTTAACTCACTGTATAGTTGGTATCTTGTCCCAGTCCTGCCATTTTTCTTTTAGAAAAACCCACAAGTGTTTTGCTAAATCAGGAGGGCAAAAATCTGTGCTGGTGTAGAAAGGTGACATATCTCTGAAGCCAGTGGAGCTGACTGCTCACAGAAGACTGTGCTAAACCAGCTGCTCCTCCCTGGGGTGTGCTTTGCACCCACAGCTGCTCTGGGTACCAGACATGACAGAGAGCTACAGGTACAGGGGGAAGCACGTGGGAGCCATGTCTCTATCTCTGCTGCACCACCACCACTCATTACAGCAGCAAAACCCAGCTCAGGTAGCAAGCACGCTGCTAAAGTCAACTCTTCCACCCCTGCTCTTTGCAGTGAAATCATGCAAAACCCTACAATCCTAGGGAATTTGTTTTCCTGCTTCCAAACCAGGAGCACATAGTGCAAAATGCATTCAAGCAGAGGACAAGAACACGCTTGAACCAAAGAACTTCTTCTAAGGTCTCCTGGATCACACTCTGACTCTGCTACAGCCTTTCCAAACAAATTATATATCCATGCTGCACCCAAGAACAATACCTCAAGGAGCTGTAATTGAAGCAGCTGTTGTAACAACACAGCTCCAGCCTCACCACTGTGAATGTGCATGGAACTGTGCTGGGGTTGAGTTTTTATAGTGCCACAATAGCCTGGGACTGGTCTCCCACTCCCACTCACTCCTGGTAATAACTGTGTCAGCCTGTTCATGCCATCACGGCACAAACAGGTGCAGTTGCAACTGCTGCAACATCACCTAAAGAGGGTTTTTCCTTCTCACCATTGTGGGAAGAGTGAAAAGAGATGGAAACCATAAGTGAATAAAGGTGCTTAAGCTAGACCTGGAACTTGGTGCATTTCAGAAAGCACCATTTTTTTCTTGAATTATAGAAAATGGCACTCAAGGGTGTCTCAAGAGCTTTGCTGGTCACTCGTTCCTGTGCTCCCACACCAGCTCACATCTCACTGACAGATGCTGTAATTTTCCCTGCTGTTCATGCAATGGTTCCTACTTTAACTAGGAATTAATAAATTGCCTTTGTCTTTGGTCGAGGAGGCAGCTTGACCAGCATTAGGACTGAAGCTGAAGGGAACAGGGGCAAAGACAGTGCCAGCATCTGTGGAAGTGCAGTGCATTTGGCCTCGGCATATCCCACATCTTTGACTCACCTATTCAGAAAACTGGAAAGCAAAGAGTTTCCCAGAATAGCCTCAAGGCTCAGGGTTGCTTCTTGGCACTGCCAGAGGGGTTTTTGTTCCAATGAGTTTCAGTTCACTTATCCTTGAATAGAGCATAAGATTTCACTGTGTTGGAGGTGGAAAGATCCAAGGAGCTGAGGAAAAGAAGACAGGACTAGTGTGGAGTGAGATCATGTGCATCCACTGATGCACCATGTGACATATGCTCCAAAGTACCATATGAAGCTGCACAAAATATATGCTTGGGAAGAAGACTGACTCCAATCTAGCTGTAAAAACCTGTTCTTAATTGTATTCAGCTGCTATAACTCACGGTATATAATTCAGAGAAAAGGTTTAAATTAGACAATCAATTCACTAAAATGACACAGAGGAAAGTTTTAACATCTACATTTGTACTTAGAGGATAAAAGCAATCAGTGCTCTGGAGGAGGAGAGGAATTGGAGAGCTTTATTCCCTGCCTGAAGAGTGAGCATCTGTGACATGTGGGTCTTCACCTGCTTCTGCACCGATTTGTTATGTGACACCTGAACTCTGCTGAAGGTGTTTTAAATTTAAAACATTTAAGGATGTTTTAAATACACCTCCAAGAGCTGGATCCTCTGCTGGAAGATGCAACTGCTGCACTTGATCGTTTTGTAGGAGAAAAGTGATGATGTAGGGACATCCTGAATAATAATAATACATTTAGGAAAATATTATTAGTAAAGTAGGAAAGTCAGAGAGCTCCTGAAATTGGCACACAGTATTGACTGAGTTGTGGTGATGTTAAGAATCACCACAGCAACCACTGGACATACTTTATAATAATTGCTATTGTATTGTCTTTCTAACCACATACTTGCTGCTGCTTCATCTGTTCTGTGATGCTTCAAGTCTCTAAAGCTTCCTTGGAGCAGTGTTTTGGTCTGCCTTTTCCCTTTCCATGGAGCAAGGGAGAGCCTTTTGCAGTGGATAAAGGTGTAGGTCTGCTTCATTAGAGCCTGCCCATAATGGAGATGCCTTCCAAATGAGACACCCTGTGTGCTGTGCTGCCTTCTCACCTACACATGAGCACACAGCTGATGGGTAGAGCAGCTGTGGGTAGTGATGTAACTTTCCTGACCCCCTTCAAACACCAGGATTTGATGGTCCAGGCACTTACTGAAAACAAGATAGCATTTTGGTCCTCTTCCTGCCTCTAAGCACACTCCACCCTCCTTCTGGATTCAAGACACTCAAATTTAAAGCACACAATGTGCTGGAAACATCCATTATTTATATGTTATATGTACTCTCCTGCCAGACCAGCTTTCTATTCACTAGAAATATTTTTGGGACAACATCCAAGAATTTCCTAGTGACTTTGTGTTCCCAGAAAGCTGTCTTCAGGCTGTGGGGACTGAAATACAGAATGATATAGAGATGTTTGTTTGATGTTTGCTGTACCAGAGGGAAAAAAAGAGAGCAAGAAGCAATCTTAAAAATCAGTCCCTATTATTCCAAGGAGGAATGGCATCACAGTGACAGGAACTTCTTTGCCCCAGTAATCTTTGTTAGCTGCTGTTGACTTAGTGGAATGGTCCCCCTGACTTAAGCCTTGTTCCTGCCAAGTCCACATAGGATGGGCTGCAATAGGAGATGCAGACCTCTAAAGAGGTCAATGTGATGCAGCAACCTGATGGTTGCTTCTGTCTTGGAATTACATAAATATAAAAACAGCTGTTGTGAGAGACCCTGGAGACCTTTGCCTGACAGTGTCTGGAAGCAGTCACAGGCTCTCCTGGGATCACCTTCTGTTCTTGCCCCCTATCTCAGAGCTTGGTGCAGCAACAACAGTTTTGGGCTTGCAGGGTTTGCAGATTGTAGCCTGCAAAATATAAAGCCCATTCCCTGTCTTTCCTCCTTCCCCAGAGAGCTGCTGCTTGGCACTCACCCCATGCACTGAACATTAACTCTGACAAGGATTCCTGTGCACTGATACAATACTGCCCCTGAAGTCCTGATCATTTTGGGTTGGCAATTTAGATTTGGTCTTTTTTTTTTTTTTTTCTCCTGCCATCAACTACACAAAAATATTTGTTGGCTGCTAAGTAGCTAAAAAATCCCCATTCTTTCAGAGAAGAGAAAGAAAGAGACCCTTCATGTCATTCTTGTAGCATTTATGGGGCTGGGGTGGGGCCAGCTCACATGAATTCATCAACACTGTTTTACTCCATGGGAAGGGACCCTCTGTAAATCCATCCACCCATCCCTCCTGAATCCCTACTGCAAAATCTCTTACTTATTACATTCAATTTAAAAAACCCAAACAAACCCATCAAACTAAAAAATAATCAAACCCAGTCATATCAAAACTCTGATGCTTTAGCACAGCACTGTGACATAGGTCCAGATTAGGCTGAAGCTAGTTTCTAAGTAGCCAATGCAACACAATGGTTTTGCTCAAAAAGCTGATGAAAGTCACCGTGTTTGGCTGAGCATATCAGGGTGGACCCAGCTGCCAACACGAGAGTGAGCTGCACCTCACCATGTGCTTGGTGTTCTGAAATCAAAGCTGAGTTTTTCCATGAGCACATTCACAAGGGAACAATTTACTCTAGACACAGGCAGCTTCTTGCCCTGTTTGAAAGACTTTGGAGGGCAGAGAAGGTACAGCTGAACAGTGCAGGGGATGAAAGATGCAGATGGAGCTTTCTGCACCAACAAGCTGGCTGGGCACTGGGATGGTCCATGTGGAGCCAGAAGGACTGTGAGCTGTTCAGTCTCTTCTTCCCAGGGCTGTTAGCAGGAGCAGAGGATGTTTACCATGCCTCAGTGTCCTAACCACAGTCTCATCTTTGCAGTTGCCTCTTACAAGCAGTTTTCCAGACCCTCAGCAAGCACATAATTCTTTGAAAGGGAGATACCATGTGTAATATCCTAATATGATGAGCTCTGATGATTACCTTTGTCTCCCTGCCAAAAATTACCCCTCACTTCAGAGCAGGCATAATCTTGCACAGAGACCAAAATACAACAATAGCCTTAATCAAATCCTAGAAACATCCACCACTTCCAAGGATCCCTAAGTGAGTTCTATGACAACTAGAATTTTTCAGTCCAACTCCAACTCAAAGTGGAGTGGCTGTACAGCTGTCCTCCCTGGACATCCTCAGTACTGTGGGCTGGGTCTGAATGGTGTAAGCCACTAATAGTCCCACATTTCCCCCAGACCTTTCTTTTGCTGCATGTAGAAATAGGAACCATGAATTAAAGCAGTGGGAGATTGTAGGGACTGGAAGTAAGAAAGTAATGGGGAAAGAATTGTGAGCATCAGGTTGCCTCACTGCCACCTCCATTTCCAGTGCTTTGTGCTCCAGCACATTTGAGATGACAACAGGAGAAACTGGCTTCCAACCTTCTGGCAAGTGAATGCATCCAGGTGGGAAAGCCCCACCATGTTCTGCCACCCTGAGAATCTCATCTCATCTCACAGGGAATTGAAGACAGACTCCACCTCAAAACCTTTCTGTCCTACATTGCCTGCCTGTGCTACACCTACCCTACACATGGCTACGTGTCCTTGGGTGGCCTGTTGGGTCACCTCCTACCCATGGTCCCCTCAGGGCAGGCACAGGCAGAAGCAAAAGGACCTCAAGTTAATGCCAGGGTAGAATTTGAACAGACCCCACTGCCTGTGAGGAGAGGAGGAGTCGGTTTTCAGCTAACCTATAAATAACCATCATTTCTATAAACATCTGCCAGGGTTGGGAGAAACTGGAGGCTGTGCCAGAGACCAGCCCATAATCAAAGCATTCTGGCAAATATTGCGATAGTGGGGTCTGTGTGGGCCGTCTCCACATACAGTATACAAATATTTACTGTAGATTTGCCTGCTGCAGTAACTACTCCTTCCTAGCAACTTTCTCTACCAGCTCTTGAGCATTTTTATCCTTCACAATCTGGCTGAGCAAGTCTTTGACAACTTTTTTTTTGCCTACCACCTAATACCATCATTTGCTGCCTTGTCTGTCATGCTTTGCAGCCAGAGATGAGCCTTTGGCTTTGCAGTCACCACTGTCAGTTGTCTGGAGGTTTTGGTCATGATCACCACCCCCGGACAGGGAAAGAGAACATTTGAGCCCTCAGCAGAGAGAATATTGGCCTGGAGAACATCAGCTTTCAAACAACACAGTCTGAAGAACCCTCTGTAGAAGAGATATCACATTGGAATGACAGAAGGGCACAGCAGAGGAGAAAAATGCAGGCAGGTGCCCCTGTGGGAATGGTCTTTGTCCAACACTGGTTGTTTCCCTGCAGGAGCTCCTGTCAAAGAGCTCTGGCTTGAATATTTTCTAGTGGTGTAAGAGAGAAACATGCAGCAAAGAGTATGTCAGGTTGTGTGAGCAGTGCTGGTAAGCCACAGTACCTCGACCTTGACTTGCTGGCCGGATGTCCTGAGAGAGCAGGGAATGACTGTGCAAGGCAAGGGAAGACTCCTCACTGCCTGGCCGATCTGCTTTTTCGTCTATGCATGAAATATTGCTAATCTTAAATTACCTCTTTCTCCCTGCCAGATGGAGTCTTACACATCTGATCCCTTGGTCTACCACGGTGGCATGAAGGTCTCCTTCGTCATCCAGCTGATGAATGCCATTGCCAGAATCGAGCGAGCCCTGCCCAAGCTGACTCTGCCCATCCTGGTGCTACACGGCTCTTCCGACAAGCTCTGCGATATCAGGGGCTCTTATTTCCTGATGGACACAGTGCAGAGTCAGGACAAAACGCTCAAGGTCATCTTGCTTTCCTGATTGTTAGGAGATTGTGCTGTCAGGGTTGGCCTGAGCATGAGTGACTGTGAGGGGTGGGAGCCTGCTGACCTCCGGAGAGCTGGAGGCAAGGAGAGCTGGTGGATGGGTGAGGCTGGGCAGGTGACAGCCCCTTTCAAAGGGAGGTAGCCCAAGCTCAGCCCTCCCTGGGCTCAATGTGGTGGCCTTTCACCAGCTACAGCCAGGCTGGGGACAGGGGATGGTGGGTGATCTGCAGGTCTGCCCCTGGAGGGTGTCCTGGACATTCTACTTGGTGTAGAAGTAGAGCAAGTCTCATAGGCAGGTAAAGCGTTGACCCAAAAAGCTCTTCTGAACAATGCCAACTGTGTGAGCACCAGCCTTACCTCATGTCCCAGCGTGTAAAGGTGCAGGAAGGTCTCTCCAAAATGCTGGACAACAAAAGCCATTTCACATCTGCTCATTTCAAGAGAACCACAGCTGATTAACCAATTGTTAGCACATGAATAAACCTGAAAGAAAAGGGAGGGAGACCAAGGGAAAGCTTTTGTCATCAGAAAAATAAATGGATAGTCTGAGCATAAAAGGAGTAAAATTGCACAAGGCATGATGGGAACATCCCCCATTGTCCTTTACATTCCAAGGGCATGATAAGTATTTCCTCCTCCTTAGTGGAATGGGGCTGGGACATGCATTATGTTCCTAAAGGGCAGCAGGGTGCTCTGGTACCCACAGATGTCAGGCAGTAATGCCAACACCTTCCTGCTTGTTGAGGGCCAGCACCACCAGTGGCATCTCCTTGATTTCATAACCTGCTACATCTTGGGAAAAAATGGACAAGTTGTGGGCAGGAGGTGTTGGACCTGTGGGTGTTGATGAGAGGGGACTGAAGGCTGTTTTGTTCATGCAGATTTATTTTTTCTGTGCTAATCTCTAATTCTCTGTGGTTACAGGTGTATGAAGAAGCCTATCATGCCCTCCACAAAGAGCTGCCTGAGGTCTCTACCTCTGTCTTCACAGAAATACTGACATGGATTGGCCAGAAGGTCTCAGCAGCTGGGGAAACCAGCCATACTTAAGAGCAATTGCATTTGCAGCTCTTACTGGGGTTTTCTAGGAATATATGTTTTTCTTACTAGAAATCTCTTGGGAAAAGATCTAACATGGAGGGATTATTGGAATATTTTATCACACACAGTTTAAGGGAGGGTGGGGGGAGATGCACAGGGTGGGGAATTATTTGCTGATGTAAACGGCCACTGCCCTAATCTGGAGAAGAGTTGATGTCTGTGGGATGCACCTCAACCACCAAATTTTCTCCACGGCTTCTCCTTCTCTGTTTTTGCTGTGGTGACTGGGGTGTGTTTATACTGCAATAATTATTGGTATGTAAAAGAAATCAGTATCTTCCACTTCATGGTTTTGATGCCAGGTGCGTCCCTTGTCCCCACCATCCAGCACCTTAAAAACCCTGCTCCTTGAGAGGAGAGCACTAACGAAGGTGCTGGGTGATGAGGAGAGGCTAAAGATGGAGTTGACAGCTCCCTGAAGGTGAAAGGCTGATTTTCAAGACCAGACCCTTTTGGATACTACCTTTTAAGCAGACCAGGCCAGGGGATAGAGATGCCTTCCCCACCACCCTGCACATCCTCTGCGAGTTTGCACTTGGGGAAAGCATGTTGAACAGTGCTTTGATTTTCATCATTTGAGCAGGATCCCAGAGGGAAGAGCAGGAATGTGGAATCAAACCCACTTAGCACATTCAATTCCCCTGCTTTTCCCCATGTCAAACCCCATCTTCTCTGCAAGATTAACTGTTCTGTAAATATCCTTAGGGACAAGGTTCCTTCCTTCCTTCCTTCCTTCCTTCCTTCCTTCCTTCCTTCCTTCCTTCCTTCCTTCCTTCCTTCCTTCCTTCCTTCCTTTTTTCTTTTTAACTCTCCCTTTTTTTCCTTTTGGAATTAATCATTTGTGCTACTGAAACTGAAAAAGCAAAGTCAAAGTTATAAGAGAATATAGTAATATAATATATTATATAGAAGTGGCTGGAGGCTGGGAAAGAAATGGGAGGAGAGTAAAGAAGGAGTTAATCATTCCTTCTCTTGGCAAGAAACAGTGTTGTCCTACCAGGATCCGGTCCTTTCACCATAACTTTACAGTCATAATCTGTTGTTTTCCTTCATCAGTTGGAAAATGTCCTGAAAATAATGCTAGAGAGAAGTGCAGAGCATCTGGTGGGTGGGGAGTAGCAGTGGGTGTCCTCATGGTCCACTGGTTTAGCAGGAGACCCACAGCACGAGCAGAGATCCTGTCCAAGCCCATCCCAGGCTCCTCCCAGTCAGCACTGGGGCCGGGCACTGAGGGGCTGAGCTCAGCCCTTCAGGACATGTGGGAGCTGAAGGCAGAGTGAGGAGTGGGATCCCCCATCCATCCAACCTCTGCCTTGCTCTGCTGGGGCATCCACAGACCCTGCTGTACAAGCTGCTGTGGAGGAGCCTTGGACAGGGCCTGTGGTACAAGTAAGCCAAATTCTTGAGATGCCTGAGTCTCTGCTAGCAGCAGGGAGAGAGGAAAGAGTTTAGACCCTGGATGAGAGCAGAGACATTGTACTGACACAGTAAAAGCTGCACAGTGATGACAGAGTGGCTGTGCACACCGATTTGTCTAGTGAGATGGCCCTCAGCATGAATATACTTCTTGGCACTATCCAAAGGGAAGGGGTTCAACCTGCACCTCTCCCTCTGGTTTTGCAAGAAGAGAATGCAAATGTCGCACTATGAGAGAGTGGGATGTCTCCTCCAGTGACAAACCAGCCCCTACTGCCTTCCCTGGCAGCAGCAAGAAGCACTGCTGTGCCTTGAGCTGCTGTCCCCAGGGCTGGATCCCTCCTTTGACACTCAGGAGGGTCACCCACCTCTTCTCCCTTTGGAAGCAGTTCTAGCAAGGTTCAGGAAAGGGACCTCTGTGCAATAACAGTCAGAATCAGGGCTCAGTCCCATTCAGTCCCAGCAGCATGGATGGATGAAAGATGTGTGGATGCAGGTTGTATCCTTGTAGTCGCCCTAAGGGGCCCAAGTCAGGGAAGCTCTTTTATACAGGTTGATCCAGGCACTTTGGCATTTGTAATTTTTTGCCTCTAAAGAGAGGAAGGAGCTGTAGTTCTCCCAGCAACGTTAGCTTTTAATTGAAATATTATTCCAGTGCAATGGGCTGTTCTCAGCAGCCCCTCCAAAACCTCTGGTGACACTTACTCTGGGAAACAGCAATGAGCAGGTCACCTGCTTTCCATCTTCCAGCAGCCTGTCTTGAGGCAACTTGTGTTGCCTGAGCAAGCTCCCTCCTGGCCAGATGCTGCTAGAGAAAGATAGCAAGAAGAGAGACACTACAGCAGTGATAAATCTCACCTGCTTCTTCAGCTGGAAGGGGAAACAAGTGGGTGTGATCCAGAGGTGACAGACGTTGCGGGGGTAGTAGCAAGATGATGATTTAAGGATAGGATTTTTGAAAGCACTTTTCTTGAGGAAGTCAGGAGGAGTAAATCAATGCCCACAATTTTTACATCCCTTCTAAAGTGACAAGCACTTTGCGGGAGTGGAGAGGGAAGTGACCCTTCAGCAGAAAGGTCAGAGCCCGTCTGCTCCCTCCAACCTGGCTTCAGGCAGAGGAACGTCCCTTGTCAGTGCCTTTGCTAAAATGTGTCCTTTCACCCAAGAAACATCTGCAGCTGAACAGAAATAAAAGCAAACAAATTACATTGATCTGGGGAAGACTTCTCTTTCAGTCTATAGCTGAACTCAGCAGTGGCACATGGCCTGGGGAGGCTGTTTGGGAAAAGGTTTACAAACAAAACCTACAAACAACAGCAACAACAACAACAACAACAACAACAAAAAAAAAAGCCAAATGATCCCAAAGCCATGGCACAGCAGCAGGTATTGCCACCCTCAGCCAGTTTTCTGAAGAGTTACCTTCTGAGGCAATGAACACAGGGAAACCAATCCAGAAGAAGCTGGGCCCTGCCTGCGCTGACCCCACAGACCCCTGGGCTGGCTGCTGAGCAGAGGGGCCACAGCTCCTTGGCAGGTGGGAAATGAGTGCAAGGGAAGGAGCCAGGAACAAATCAGCCCGGGCCAGGTGAGGCACCGATCCGCACATTCCAGCTCTCTCACTGCTGCTGATCCCTTGCCCTGCCTGTAAGCTCCTTTATACTGACCTAGTTAGGTTTCACCGAGCCCCGGAGGAATTCTTCCTTGGCTGACCAGATTAGCAATGAGCAGAGCAGCTGCTGAGGGAAATGTAATTACACTCTATTTCCAGCTGGCAGGTACCACTTGCAGGGAGCAGAGCCAGCCTTACGAATGTTGCTGTGCAGAGCTGCACCAGTCTGCTCTGCCTTGGAGAACAGGTGGCACTCGTGACTGAGCAATAGCAACGTGTAACTACTGTATATATCACCACCTGTAGCACTGAGAGGCCACTTCCCACTGCCTAACCCATCATGTTTTCTATTTAGCCTGTCCTTTTTATACCACTCACCTTAGCACACTGCCAGCACAAACCCGTTGGGATCACATTTCCTTTTACAAGTAATTGTCTCTCTTGTTCTGTTGTGTTCCAGTTCAATAAAATACATTATATATATATATATATACATATATAAAAACATATATACATACACATGTATTTTCAGTGGAAAAACCATATACAAGTTTAGGATTCTTAAAGGAATACAATGTATATTGCAACTAATAATAAAGTTATGTTTTCTGAACAGAGTGTGTCTGAGGGTGTCACTGGTGACCATTCCAAAGTGCTTCCCACACCCCAGACTAAACAACAGTGTGGAGCTGTTGGAGGATACACAGTAAAAGGCAAACTCAGCCTGCTTCAACACCTAGTTCCCATGCTTTTAGAAGTCCATTAAAATGTGATCTTGGTCCTGAACTAAACCCAATTCCAACAGGAAGCATCTGCACTGTGGTCAGGAGTAACTGCTGATTCAATTTTGATCCCAGCTGTGACTGCAGATCAGGCTGGGGAGTGGCTCTGATGCTCTCAGCTCCCAGGCAGTGCCCAGATGCTGTAAGAGCTTCAAGGTCCATCCAGAGCTAGGGTTGGTGCTGTCAGAGTGCCCCACACTGCAGAACTGTCCCCCTGCCCAGAGAGTGGGGTTGGGCAAAGAGCAGCCTCAAGGTCCTCTCCTGCTCTCCTCTCCATGCACATTTTAGGACAAGTCACTTGTTGGTAAGGGCTCCCCAGGCACTCACACTCCAAGCCCCGTGATGACTGCTGCAGCAGGGGACAGTCAGGACAGTCTGCTGTCCTGTCTCATGCCAGCCCTCTGGCCAGAGCCATTAGCAGCACCAGACCCAACCTGCAACCTTTATCAGCTCATTTCATCCTCCTTATGCCTCAAGTCACTAAATCAAGAGAATAGTATTTCCCTTCTGCAGTCCTGTGCAGGCTCTGTGTCTGATCAAGCCCAGCTCACCAGATCAGAAGCTCTGGCCAAGGGCTTTGATGCCCATCAACACAAACAACAGAGCTGGGGCTTTTCACCAAGCCAGCAGGCACACCATGCTAGTAAGGAACATCATTAGTAACAACATTTGCTTTCATTCTGGCAAGTCCACAGCTCTCTCTTCTGATATTTTGGTGGTTTATTAAGCTCATCACAGTTTTGAGGGTCACTGGAGGGTGCACACCACGGTGCTGGGACAGGGACTGAGCACAGGAGGGAGGGGACAGTCCCTCACAAGGCTGGGAGCAGCAGCAGCACAAAGGAGCTCTTTTGGAAGTGCACTTCTCCCAGTGTCACCACCTGATGGCTGGCGAGCTGTCACAGCCATAGGTGGCTTTCCTGTTTTTAGCCTGTGCTTCTACTCTGATCCTGTGAGTCTGCAGGAAGCCTGAGGCTTTTGCCTTTTTCTCTTCCCTCAGCCTGTGCTCAGTCTGCTGTTATCCAAGGCTGGCTCTGGGGGCAGCTACCAGGTGGGGATCAGCCAATGGATGGTAAAGCAGGAGCCAGAGCAGTGTCAGGGTGAGGGGAGAGCTCCTCAGGAATCCTTTCCTGTCACCCTGGCACGGACAGACAGCCTGCATCACCACTGGGACATCAGAGAAGAGGTGCCATACTCAGTCACAGTGCAGCAGGGACCTTGTCTCTTGTCAGACTTCTGGCACCACCCAGGCCAGGCTCGGGCACTGAGAGCAGGCAAAGGCTGCAGCTCCAGTGAGTGGTGAAGGATTTTAATTCAGGTCTGCTCAGCACATAACCCACACTGCTTCACTTCCCTTTGCTGCTGGCTAAGCATCAGAAGAGGGAGAAGTGGGGCTGCAGCCCAGTGCAGAGCTGCTGCTGGGGGTGAGCAGGGACTCCCACCTCTCCACCCGCTTCAGGCAGAGAATTCCATCACAGGAAAAGGGAGATGGAGCTGAAGGGTTGTGCAGGTGCCACC